CAATATAAAAAAAAGTACTTAAATACCTATTTAACACACTAAAAAGTATGTATTTAAAAGCTTCAAATATTTCCCAGCTCTGCACTTACTAAAGGTTCGGCCCAAAATGCGAAATCATCGAAATTCGAACAGACAAAAAGATATCTTTTGCATTGATTTTCACTGAATTACCCTAATGCCTTGCTGTTCAAGTAATATAATATTTTTTGACAAAAAATTAGTTCCCGATGTTGATTCTTTTTTTAAAATTTTTTTATATTGTTTAAAACCAGAAACCTTTTAGAAGGGGGAAATAATTTAATAATAATAATTTAAACAATATTTATGCTACTTACATAAAGAAAGGTATAGGTTACCTATATTGCAAAAAATTTCAGAACTTTACGACAATTTCCCTAAAAATAGTTCAAAATCGCAGAAGTGGGTCCGGACGGACGGACAGACAAAACGCAAACAATGGAATATTTATGTATCCTTAAAATGAGCTACCAATTTTCCTACATGAGAAGGACACATATTGTTTAAACAATACAAGTAATTATTTCTCTATAAAACTTGAAGGCCTTCTGGCACACTCTCAAGGTATAGGCTACCTATTGCAAAAAATTCCAAGACGACAATGCCCCTAAACATTAAAGAGAGGAGAGAAGAAAATCTTTATTAGCGTTGATCCAAAACATTGATATAGTTGATAAAATTGACTGAAACTATGTATCATTTAAAAAACGTATACCTACTTGGAAAAGGTTTTTTTCATTTTTTGGCGATTTTTTCGAAATTTTTATATCCGAAAAACATTTTTTATTTTTGATTATTAAAATACAAGAAACTTTTTCTAACCTGCGCACCTCTATACGACGAAAAAATAGATTTTTTTATCCCACTGAAAAGTAGGTGTTTTTGAAACATCTCGGAAACATCTGAATTTTACGGGAGCAACAATTGTCTTCTTTTTTCTCATAAATGCTCTGTTTCTTTCAAATTTCAGACCCTTTATGGCTGAAAACGAAAAAAAACCAGTTTTTTTTTGTCATATAGTAAAATTTTCCGATCTTCTCATTATCGAATTCAATATTAGGGGCTCTCATTAAAAATTTTGAAGTTGGAAGTCGAGATCAAGGTCATCCTCAAGGCGACTACCGAATGTACCGACTAGCCCCTTTAGAATTGTACAACTGTTGTAAAACACTTTTTTTTCAAAAAATATGACCCCACAAGTTATTAAATCGTCTGATAAACGAATAACCTTGTATATAATACATAATGTAACATCATATACAGGGTCCTGCAACAGTATACGTTGGTCTTTCCTAGCTCATACGCGGAAAAAACATAAAAAATCCTTTTGTGCACATGTCAGATGGTTGCGCATCTATAGACATTATTTTTTAATGTACAGGATGTCCCATTTTTTGTAAATAAATAACTGATTTTTTTAAAATACAACACCCTGTATATTTATATATTATATGTTGCCATCTTATTAAAATTTTCGGAATAATTCCCCATAAGCGAGCCTGCTTACTTTTATGAATCGAATGAGCAAGAATGTTAATCCGAGTAAAAGGCAAAACTTTGATAATGAGAAAGTTGGATTTAGTGATACAGGGTGTTCACAATGAAATAGTAAATTTTCCGAAATTTAAAGTACTTACTTTTCAAACAGAACTACCACTATTTTATTTCGCTATTCGATAGTGTTTTGTGTTCTCTTCAATTTTTATAAGGGCCGTCCTGTGGGTAAAACTCGTAGTTCTTATTATACTACGAAATACGGAGTACATTTGCAGCAAATAATTAGTTTGCGACACTATTTACCTTCGAACATTCTTTTGATTTTTATTATCACAGACTACTCCGATGCATAAACATGTAATTGAATAATTGGTAGGTACTTTTGTGAAAATATTAAAGAATATAAAAACTACAAGGTACAGACACACGGCATCCCTTATAAAAGTTCAAGAGAACACAAATATCGAATACAGAAATAAAATAGTACTACTTCTATTTGAAAAAAAATAGTTATGGCACTTTTACCATTTCATTGCAAACCTCCTGAATAACTAAATCCAACTTTCTATTTATCAAAGTGCTGCTCTACTCGGATTATCATTATTACTCAAATTTATTTCTTAATTACAAAAAACAAGGTAGCTACGATTCATCAAAGTGAGGCTTGCTCTTCTCCATTAACAGTTTTTTGTATTGTCTTGTACATGGTGTAGAGCGGTTTACGCACCATAGGGATTTCAATGGTAATTTTTTTTATATTTTCTCCCCTAGTTATTTTACATCAAAGTTGCAAATACATTTTTTGTAGATCGTAAAATTCTGCGTCTATAGATTTTAGTAAAAATCACTCTTGCTGTGAAATGATTGAAAGAAAAATTCGATTTTTACGCAAATACTAAAATCTAATTATTTATTTAATTTTTCTAGTTTGCCAAATTGAAAAATAATAAATGAAGACATGAGCAGACTCAGAACGTTTCAAGCTACAAGAATCGTATTTACAACTCGGTGCGTAAACCGTTTCTACACTACGTATATTAAATTAAATCGGCACTTTTGCTAACTTTCTTAGTTGTAGAGTTAAAAAGAAAAAAGAAAATAACAAAAAATTGACTTTTGACTTTTTTATATTGAATGCGCTGTATATTATTACTTCATATGAGCGCTTATTAAATTCTCTGCAACAGTTCTTAATGCATCATAGCTAAAATACATAAAATAACTAAGATTGTTCAATTATTTTCATTTCGACTTAGTTATCCATGAAAATGATAAAAATAAATAATAGTACTTGATGTACTGTGATGGAGTAATAAGTAGGTTAATTAAATGAGTAGGGACGAATGATAAAATTGATTCGAAGGGAGTGAGTATGAATCGGGGAATGAATGAGTACAGTATTATTTCGGACAGAGGACATTACAAAACAATAAATTGGACTTATCACAGTAGGTTATTAACAAAATAATAACAAGAGAAGGATAATAAATTAAAAAAATTATTAAAATTAAAATAAGAATTATAGGTGAAGTAAGTAATACATATAAAAATAACTTATAAGTTACAATAGATACCTATGTTAAAGAAGGTGTTAAAAACGTTTCCATTTTCTTTAGTACATTTTTGAGACCTTTTCAACACTGAAATTGGCTACCATTTGTAGGCCAATTGAATTAATTATTCGGCGAATAGAATTTTCTAAATCTATGACGTTGTATTGCGCTTATAAATTTCTTTTCCTTACACAGCCCCAAAGAAAGAAATCGAGAGAGGTTAAATCTGGTGAACGAGACGGGCATCAAACTTGGTGCTTATCCACCCATCTCTTTTCAGCAATTCTATGAAAGTTGTGTGGCGGTACCCCATCTTGCTAGAAGTAGGTAACTCTTCGACTTTGCACTAATATCACATCCAAAAAGTTCTCTAAAACCTTTGTTATTAAATTGAGCCCCATTAAGTTTACTCTCATAAAAACCGGTCAAATAATTTTTCTCCCCATAGTAGCACAAGCACACTACATGTTGATGCGTAAGGAGTGGGTTTTCTCGGGACCAATAGAGCCTGTACTTGGAAGATGTAAAAAGAGGCTGCGTGAAGATAATTTTTATGAACTCTTTCTTAGATTTATGAACAACTGAGGATTTCATAAATGATGGGCTAACTACATGCGCGCTTTTCATTTCCTTTAAAATGAAGGTGTTCTGGGGTTTCCGTATTTCGGGATGGCAGTAGGTTAAGATGCTTTTATTTATTGCACGTAACTTCTTAGAAACGTTATAAAGGGAGGTAGTGTTTCGTGTGATCTTTACGACAGGGTCGCTACCAAATGTAGGGTGCTATTTAAAAACCGGCACTTCCTGAATTTCGCAATAAACGTCACCGCGTACGTCAGTCTCATTTATAAATGGAAATAACAAAAAAAGCTTAGAATTGGCAGTGTTTAGTGTGCAAATTTAAAACAGGACCTACGATAACGGTTTTCAAGGACCCGCGAAAGCGCAATCGTACAGTTTTTTTCCTGGCTCGGCACTATCAGTAATTGCGAGTTTATAAATAAAACCATTATATCTTACGGAAAAAGAAAGCAAATATGTAACAAAAGTTTCCATTATTTATAAGTAATGAGCTATTACGCTGGGACGAGAGGAGAGAGCAGTTTCGGTCAAGGTTACCATCGAGTTACCAACCACCTAAACTTTACATTACCCCGCCAAATGCAATTTATTCCGACTAATTGCGGTACGTGATCTTCCGTCCGTAGATTACATTCGTGACCTTCCTCCAAATATCATTTTTTTTTATTACAAAAATACGGCAATTTCACGATCGACCCGCTCTGCAAAAAGCGTCCACAATTGCGTCAGCTCGTCCAGATTTGTTTTAATTTAATCAAACTAATTATACACGTGTAGTGTATCAAATAACAGCTCGCACACACACACAAAAAAAATGTAATAGGTACGTTTAATCAGATAAATAATCCAAAATCTAGGTCAAGTAAGACCGTTGAACTCCCGTCGAAAAGGTTAAACAATTATTGAATTGAAGGTACCTATCGGTAATTAGACAAATTCGAACTTAATTTTCTGGTCGTTTTGATATTGGGGGGGAAAATAAGGATGATGCAAGATCGCTCATTATGTGGAATTCAAGGTCAGGTGAACGTGGACAGATCGCATTGAGGCAAGTCCACCAAGTTTTAATTAGTCGGGACTGACCTTGGCAATCGGTAAAATCGCGAACGGGCCGAATTTTGTATTAGAGGAAGAGCGGACAAAGAGGGCCCCGTACGAAAATAACCCAATTACGGTTAATGTAATAAGAAAACGGGGCATTACGAAAAGGACGAACAAAGGATCATTATACAGATTATAGGAGTTTTCGATGTGTGAGTTTGGAGGCACGTACGCCATCCGAGCGGTTACGAAGAGGATCCTCGGCTTGGTACGTTGGTGGTGGGGACCTCGTTCCCTATAAAACCGGCGTTTGCGAGCAGCTGATATCAGTTGTTTGTGGAAGTTTGAGTTAGTTGTTGCGCTAAGATCCGAAGTGAGTCTTTGTTCTTTGTGTCGTACGCGTATTAGTTAAATTCGTCAGAATGGAAATTCTAGCAGTGACCAACGTAGACTATAACACTCAAAAAGGTAAATAGTCTTGCAATTCGCAAATTTGTTGAAAATTGCGAGGAGGCTTAGTGTGTCAAATGATCAGCTGATTTCTAACCGGCCGGCTTTCTAGCGGTGTGCAGTTAGCGCGACCTCCTTTGACCTCCCGAGCCGACTTAGCAACAGCCGGTTTCACTTATTATAAGCTTTTTTCTAATAGCCGCTTTCTTCATTTACAGATTGGGACTACGAGCCAAATCCCACTTCCGAGGAGGGCGATTGCGAAGCTGCCGTAAGTGCACTTTCAAAACGCCTTGAAACCGAACTTCGTGCAGCTAAACGCACTCACCTGTCTTGCGGTGAGGTACTGTTACCTTGTGGTCTCCTGCAGGTGATATCTCGTGACATACTGTCATTGGCAGACTCTGAACCTTGCGGTCTCCGAGGGTGTACCCTGTATTTAAATTTCGCCGGCGAACAGGACTGTAGAAGACTGAGCACGATCAAGTGCGATCCATACACAGCTTCCACGTTTGAATTGTACCTGACCCTCAAACAGACTTCGAGTAGCTGGAACAACTTCCTGCCGCAATTCTTGAAGTAAGTCTACTTTTCCCTTAAAATCGTACTCCCCACTAACGCACGTTTTCTAATTACAGAAAAATTACGCGTGGCGGCACCGTAATGATCAGCACCGAATACGATTTAGTCAAAAAGAAATTGTACCGCTCCTACATTGAGTAAACCCAAACTGTTTGTAGAAGTAATCTACTGAAGACTGAGCATAATCGCATCACCACATCTATTCACCCATCAGTAGATCACTTCGCCCGTCATCAAAATTCTCTTCTTCATTTCTCCCATTAGACTAAGTTTTATATTACAAAGAAACATGTGAAAAGCAAAGCGTGATAGTATTTATAGATTATAATCGTACTTTCTTAGTTAGGTGTCTTTTAGCAATACAAAGTATATGTATTTTTCCCATTTTGAATTCGACGTCGATCGAAAGAAGCGTGGAGTTTTATTCCGTGATCAGTTACAAAGTGATATAAAAATTCTGGTTTCATTTGATTGTCGAAATTTGTATATGTTGTGATATTAGTTGCGATGCGACCACTTACTGTATTCGAATTGGCCACTGAAACTTGTTTTGTGTAAAAAGTCGAGAATTTGTTTGATCGAAACAAAGGCCGACTTTTATTTTTATTTGAGCAGTATTCTTCAGTCGCCACTTCGTGTATCAAAGATCATTTTAGATCTCTACGAATGTTTTGTAATGTAGTATATATCCATTGTGTTATGTCATTCAAATTTATGAATATCTTGTGAGGCTGTCAGTTTTAAGTTTAATGTTTTTTTTTCAAATTTTTGTACAATAGCTGTAGTGCAAAATATTGTTCTCAAGCGCTCCTGTGTGATAGTACAGTTCACTGTACATTTCTCGAGCTTTTTGTAATAAATTATTAAATGTTAAAAAGTATACATAAAAAGGTATAAAGTGATATAAAAATAAAATATATTACGTTATTCCCGTCTTTTATTGATTTCCCATGTTTGGACCAATTTTAAACAATTTCCTGTATTGAATTTCATACAGTTCACCAAATACTCCATTGAAGAGAAATGAAGATTTTGTTCCCGATCAAAAGGATTTATTCTCAATCCTGATAGTAAGCAGTTTCTGCACAAAGGAAATTGGTATAAAGAACACTGTTGGCTATTCACCCCTGAAACATAATAATGCCCTCATTGTTAAAAAACTATGATACCTATTAATAAATACTCAAATCTTATAAGATAATGAAATAATCCCCTGACCTGCTATTTCATAAAAAGTTCACATTCGAAGAAATATTAGTAGGACAGCATAAGTTCGCGAACGTACCTGAAAGTAACAAAAAGTTTACGGATTTAACAAAATTTCTCAAATATAAATGAGCCAAAAAATCTATAGAGCGGGCTAGAGAAATAATAATTTGCCGTGTCCCGCGCAAATACCACCCGCTGTATACAAATTCGTTTTTCTTGGAAAATAAGGTTCGCATAATTTGGTAGCATAACGTTTAATTGATTTAATAAATAAAAAAAGCACATATTCAAAAGCTTTCCAGGCGTTTATTTATCGCCTAAGAAAACGTGTGCCAACTTTATTGACTTTCGGTTCGGTGGTTTGACAGGAAATGAGTGTACAGACAGGCGGACTGGCGATCAATGAGATCCAGGGGTCCAACACGCAGTCTATCATAAAAGTGGGACTGTAAAAATGATGTACGAGTATCACTTATGCACTCTTAACAGCCTGGGTTAAAACGCGGAAACACAATAAACGTTACTCATTAAAAACACGTCTTTAATTAATATCGCCACTTAAAAGAAGTTGAAGTTTTCTACAGGGCCGTTCCTACCCATAGGGCGATGCGTGAAAATCACAAAGGCGCCGAAGCAAAGGGCGGCTAAAAGTTATAAGGCTTTATAAATGTTAAACAATTGTATGATAATACACTGTGTCTAAGATAAGGATGTCTCATCATGGGGATGTCTGAAACCATAGACGATACGACGATCGTCAAATTAGAGAAAATATGCGTAATTAAAGAGTTATTATTATGCTTTAAAGAAAACCGGAAAATTCCGACTACTTCCCAAGATATGTCAGAAAAACCGAAATTTGCCGATATCGTTTTTATTTTATTCTGAAAAGAAACACTTTCTCTATTGCCACTTTCTGAGCTCAACAAAACATCGTTATGGAATTTTCAATACAACTTTCGGAGAAATCATCAACAACTTTATTTTTTTTATATGGTCCGTAAAAAGTAGCATTTCTTATTACGAATACAACGATGTACGGTACAGTTGGAAACAGGATGGCGCACCCCCGCACGTCGCCCTAATAGTGCGAGAATACCTATCGGGCATATTTTTCATTTTCCCAGAAATTGCCCGATAGGTATTCTCGCACGTTATGCCATTGTGGGCGAGTGCATCATCCTGTTGAAACCAAGGTTGAAACCAAAACATCCAACTTTTTGTTTATTATTAGTTAACTTGATTATTCTATAAATAATGTTGGATACAGAGGCGGTTGTTTTTATTTTTTCACGCAGGCGGACAAGTGTCTAGGAGCGGCCCTAATTTTCTATCTCTTCTTTTGTTAAAATTTTAAATAAACACTTCAAGTTCAAAATCCGCGGTTTCAGTCGTTTTTTTTCGAAGACTAAAAGACAAAATCAGTCGTTCTTTGGTGAGCCATCGAATACCTTTGCAGTTGAAAATGAAGAATATTCATAGCAGTCGAATAACCAAATACTGCAACTCTTTGATATAGCTAGCTCGTTCGTTTTTTGATCATATAAAATTTTGAAAACATTTTGAGGCAAACTCGATCTTGAAAACCCGAGTGAAAACCTACAGTCTTTTTTTTGAGTTATGAGCAAAATTTGCATTTTTCATTCTCTGGGTAGAAGCATATATAGCTAACTTCTTTTTTATTAAGGTGGTGTTTACATTGAAAAAGTGGAAATTTGTTTCCACAATAACTTCCTTTTGGGTATACTGTTTTGGTTGAAATAACATTCATTCAAATATATAATGTTCCGATATTTGCATGAAACAAAAATTATTTAGCTAATTCCTGCACTTTCGCCAAAAACTCCCATATAAAATATATATCTTTCATTTTTATCACACACTGATAAAAAATTGTTGTCAAATTTCACTTCATTCACAAGCTTAAACCTTTAGCAACCATCGGTCGTTAACAGAAGTCTATTTTTTTACCTCGAAACAAAGATATTGCATTTTTTGCATAATCTGCCGTTTTCAAAATAAATATACAGAGCCAGGTAAAAAAGTTATCGAACTTAATCTCATTTTTTTAATGGATTCAATTCAAAAGAAGTTTTCAAAGAATTAAAAAAATTCGAAAATTGTGTGAAACCTTTTTTAATCTTTCAACATGTTTTTATCTTGTATGGATTTTTTAAAAATCTTTTTTAATGTCATCCCTGGTGTCCTATATTTTTGTAAAGAGAACAATGGCATCTGTATGGATTAAAATATACAGGGTGTTCCATTAAAAAATGAGATTAGGTCCTTGACTTGACTCCGTATACTTATTTTGAAAACAGTAGATTATGCAACAATGATTTGTAATAAACACATTTTCGATAACTTAATAAACAAAGAAAGTAAATCGAAAAATTCAACGTTTGCCCGTAAAAAAAGACTGTAGGCCAATTTGATATTCAATATCGATGATCGAGATTATCTCAAAACAAGTATAAAGGTTTTCGCCCTAAGGCGAATAACTTCAGCGCATTTTCCATGAATTGATCAGTACTTCCCAAAAAGCAATAGTATGTTTTTCTTTACTGGCGGCATCTGTGGTTAAAATTTCAAAGAAATATCTCCATAAATATGAAAGTTGTCATTGCGCAGTCTGCCCATGGGTACATCTCATTTTTACTATATGCGATATGTTTGCCTTTAGTAGAAGGAACTGTGGTTAAAATTTCAACAAAATTTGGATTAATAAATAAGAAAGTTGACATTGGGCAGCCTGCGTTAAGATTTTTCTTGGTTCAAGTGCCAGTGCTATAGGCTACCAAATGCAAAAAGAACGAACTAAATATCTTGAAAACTGTAGGAGTGGTCGGACAGACGGGCGGACAGAGAAAGTGCACCCAACTTCGTTGGAAAATGCGCTAAAAATACATCGAAACTGCGAGATCAATTTTTTTTCATTGATAGAATAGAGAACTATAGATAACGATCAAATATTTCTACCCTTTACAGAGAAAGAAACCTGAAATTGCCAAATTTTAATAGTTCATATACAGTACCACCGTGTACCGTAATTCGTAAGGCTATTTTCGAATATTTAACCGGCACAATCCAATATTAATCGAGTACTCGTAAAAGTAGCAGTGGAATTTGTTCCTTAAAAAAAACCGAAGGACTGAGAGTCAAATTGGCTTCAGCGTTTCAACCCAAGGAAAACTGATTTTCTAGATCAGAACAAATTAAAATTGGATCAGCACAATTTAGCACAACACAAGCTATTCAAAAATTTTCATTAGATATTTGTTTTTAATAAATTGATTGAGATTTAGGATTTGGTCTAGGGAGGGGCGCATACAATTTTAATAAAGTGAATATATTTTTTTTTTAACATTTATTATACGTATAAAAATTGAACATTAGCATTGGATAGTGCTCCGATTATGTTTATATGTGCTTTTATGCAGTGGCACTCCAGAATTACAATTACTTGTAAGTTAAGGCTCTTAAACAACTTGTCATTCAAGTGCAACATTGAATTTGAGAAAGATAATTAATTATGGTTTCCTAGTGAAACAAGTTCTAAAATTGTATCCATCAAAAGCTCCAAAGTAACTTATAAAACGCATACAATTCTTGAATTGATTCTTATAATAAGGAGCGGGGGGTAGGTACATCGGTTTTTTTTTGTTTGCCTGAGGAACCCCAAATGAATAAAAATTGCGGGTGCCCATTTTAAAAAGACTTGAGAAGTGGACCTGAACATTGCCCACGGAAAATGACACAAATTTTAACCGAATCGCGTGCTATTGAGGACCATGGTCAGCTATCAACTTAGTACCTATTAAAATTTGAATAAATTTTCATTATTTCCTTCATCAGGCCTGTTACAATTTTTCTCAACTGACCCTATTAAGATTTAACCTACATACAAAATTTGTATGTTTTAATACGGACGGACAGTACGATTTTTATTGGTGAATTTCCCGTGCCTGAATTTATTCATAAAAAGATGTTACACCGTTACTTTATAAAAAGGCGAGCAATTCTTTCAACACATTATAGATTGGCCTCGTAATGTGCTACAGTTATTTCCCTAAAAGTCTCCATGTTAAACATCGCAAGAAACTCACTATGCAAAAAACGTGCACAATAGTTTCTGGAGATATTCCAATTATACGTAAACTGGAGAAAGTCTACCTAATCGTCCTCGCGAAAAGT